AATAGCTAGTCATCATTTCTAGAAGGAAACATCACCATAGAGAGTTATGCTGACATCTATCCTAACTCCATGTCCCTCTACAGCCGTGGACTATCTCAACTTTATTTGCATATAGATCAGTAATTTCTTTTACTAAATTCAACTGCTTACAAGATTTCTTGTTTCCATTTGGGATATGTTTGATTTATTGTTATCTTCAATGTCCTAGTGATGATTATAATTATGGAAAATTCATTTTAACTGAATGTAATATGATCACAATTCCATCTGATACCAGAGACAACTCTCTCTCTGTCTAGTCCTTCCCAGAACATCCTATCCATAAAGGTATCAAGACCTTGACCAGAGAGTAAAACAAGTATCAAGAATGAGCCAAACCCTCTACTTCTAGACCTTCATGATTCTAAGGATAGAACCAAAAGTTGGCTTCAGGTCCAACTGACAACTGCTTCCCTGACTAAACACTTGCTGGGCTGCCTATACTGGCTCCCAGGACATTGCTTCAGGGAGCCTTCAGCAGAATAAGATGCAGTCACTCAGGTTAAAGGAAAGAGTTTCTTTCTCTACTTACAGCACCTCTGACAGCAAACACGTGTGTTTTCCACTCCAAGCAATTCTCAATTCTCTGTGACACCAGCTGAATGTCCACAGTTCAATTCTAACACTAACTACCTGGAGGTAGCCCTACTCTGCAGGTCAGGGGCTTAATCCTCTGCTGCAAAAGCCAACTGCCCATCCCACGTTGTCACCTGCTCTTCTAACCAACCAGTTATATATTTGAGGTTCTCATGATCCTCTCCTCAAGTTTGATAATTTGCTAAAACAGCAGGAAAGTGCTTTACTTACTTTTACTAGTTTATACAAAGGATACAATTCAAGAACAGCCAAATGGAAGAGCTGTATAGGGCAACGTATGTAGGAAGGACTTAAGAGCTTTCATGCCCGCTCAGAGCATGCTGAACTACCCAGCACCCCAATATATTCATCAACCCAGAAACTCTCCAAAACCTGCTGCTTAGGGCTTTTGTGGAAGCATGATTGATTAAACCATTGGTCATTGGTGATTATGTGAATCTCCAATCTCTCCATTGAAAGTAGGTGTAGGAGAGTGCTGACAGCTCCAATCCTAATCACTCTAATCACATGGCTAGTTCCTCTGGTAACCAGCGCTCGTCCTCCAAGAGTCACCTCATTAGCATAATCGCAGGTATAGTAGAAATGGACATCTTATGAATAACAAAAATGCTCCTTTGTCCCTGTCACTGTGGAAATTCCAAGGGATTTAGGATTTAAGACAAATAAATGTTGTTTATTTTATCACAACATCACACAGGGTTCTCTGCAGTACTGTGGACAGGTCCAACACCTTTCTCCCAGCAGAAGCGATGAAATTCTATGTACAGCATTTTCCTACCGGCTGGGGTCTTTCTTCTTCAGATGCCGCCCAGAACATTGCTTGAGAGCACTTTCCTCACCTCTGCTGGAACTACAGTCAAAACCAGCACCTCCTCAGAGGCTCAACCTAAAGTCTCATCAGGGTTACTCCAGGTGTTGACTCACCCAAAATAGTCAGATTCATCAGAATGCCTTTCCTGAGGGCTCAGCTGGACACTTAGAGCCACTGAGTACTAAGGGTCAGGAGGTAGATGAAGTCCGCCCAGATGCAAGCATAAGGAAGCGAATCATCTGTAAAGAATTTGAAAGTAGCAATAAAACGAACTAAGAGTCGCCCTGGCCGGTTTGGCTCAGTGGATAGAGTGTCGGCCTGCGGACTCAAGGGGCCCCAGGTTCGTTTCCGGTCAGGGGGGCGTGTTTTGGTTTCGGGCACGTCCCCAGTGGGGAATGTGCAGGGGGCGGCTGATTGATGTTTCTCTCTCATCAATGTTTCCAACTCTCTATCCCTCTCCCTTCCTCTCTGAAAAAATCAATAAAATATATTAAAAAAAAACGAACTAAGAGTCAATCTGATTCTTATCTCCTTGCACAACAATACTAACAGTGTTAGAGATACAATAACCTTCACACAAAAATCTTCTGTGGTCTAAGTTCTAAACAATTACTATGGTTAGTGTTGAGTAACCTACATATGAATGCTTCAAATGATCACTTTTTAAAACTAATCCACTAAAAATATTTCATTCTTCATGGAAATTAATTTGCAGAATTATCAGTTACACAGTTAAATTGAGCCACAGACATAACTTTTACAGTAAATTCATTAAAATTTATGATCTTTCAAACTCACTTCAGGTGCATTTTCTGGCTCCAACCCCTATGAAAGAATATAGCCCTGCTATTATAGTAGTAAATTTAAAATAAACAATCTTAGCTATATGAGACTTTTCTGACATCTTTTTTTAGTAAGGTGAAGTTTCAGATGAGGTCAGTCAGATACAAAAATATTTATTGGCAATCAGCCAAAATAAGCCTTGAACAACATAAAGTAAAACAACAAGTTTTAAAATTGTTCCTTGAACACACACAAAAAATTCTGGAGAAATATATTAACTATGCTAAATGTAAAGAAATTGACATAGAAAAAAGAATCGAATTTTGAAGACTATCAGAAGAGACAAGAAATGATGGTCTTATATTACCAAAGATAAATAAATAAATAAAAATGATAATTTATAATCCTGTACATTTTCACCAAGAGGACATTCCTTCTGAAGCAAATAGATCAAATAATGTCAGTGGCAGTGTTCATTTTCTCCAACTTCCACAAAAGATCTTCAGAAATGTTTATCAATAGATATTTATGGTGAGTTTTCAATTGTGGCGTTCACTGAAAGCTGTAAGATTTAATCCGAAAGAAACAAGACAGGTATTGTAGTTTCTGGAATTTATTGTGAAATGTAATTTGTATAAATTTCTACCAAAGTATCCATGTTTCCTAATTATTTGTTATCTGTTGCTTCAAATAAAATAAACTTTTCAAAATTAAAATTAACAAGTGTTCTCTGGTCATCTATGGGCAAAGACAAGTGACACATTCTAAGTATGCCGTCTAGTGAACATGAACATGTGAAGACAAGTGTATCACTTTCCTAGTGCTTCTGTGACAAAGTGCCACAACTGGGCACCTGAAATAAATGAACTGGATTGTCTCATAGCTCCAATGTGTAAGCTGGGTCACACATTCTTTGAAGGATCTAGAGAAGAATCTGCTCCATGCCCTGTTTTATGTCCCAGTGTTTGCCAGAAATCCTTTAGGATCCTTGGCTTGCAACTGCCTAAGGCAGATCTCTGCCTTCTTGGTCACATGGGTTCTCCCAGTGTGTCTGTCTTCATGAGGTTATCTTTACTCAGTGTGTCCCTCTGTCTCTTCACCTCAGTTCTTTTTATAAGGACACCAGTCACTTAGATTAGATGCCCACCCTACTCCAGTATGACCTCATCTTAACGAACTGCATGTGCAATGACCCTCCTTCCAAATCAGGCCATATTCTGAGGGACTGGAGGGAAGGTGGAGGAGATTAGAGGACATAAGGACTTAACATATCCTTTGCCCTATGTGGGGAACAAAGTGCCACAACTGGGCACCTTAAAACAAGTGAACTGGATTGTCTCATAACTTCATAGCTCCAATGTGTCAGCTGGGTCACACATTCTTTGAAGGATCTAGAGAAGAATCTGTTCCATGCCCTGTCTTAGGTCCCAGTGTTTGCCAGAAATCCTTAAGGATCCTTGGCTTGCAACTGCCTAAGGCAGATCTCTGCCTTCTTGGTCACAAGGGTTCTCCCAGTGTGTGTGTCTTCACGAGGTTATCTTTACGTAAGGACTTAACATATCCTTTGCCCTATGTGGGGGCAACCACAATTCAGCTCATAACAAAGAACAATGTTTTCATATTCATTGCAAACTTATAGGCATTAAGGCTCCAGAGCAGAAACTATAATGTTATTGTATGTTACTTTAACACATAAAGGCGTATGTTTTCTCCCGTTAAAAAAAAAATGCACTGATGTAATTTAAAAGTATGAATCCATTATTTTTCCTTTGAGTGCTTTTGGATGATTATATGTACCTACCTCAACAAAACAAAGTTTTCACTGTGTTTCTTAACTGAACTTCATTGCTACTCTTTTCATTTCACCATGACTACTGAAAATAATTGTGCCAAAAATGATGCCCTCCCGCCCTGGTCGGTTTGGCTCAGTGGATAGAGCATCAGCCCACGGACAGAAGTGTCCTGGGTTCCATCCCAGTCAAGAGCATGTACCTTGCTTGCAGGTCCCCACCTCCCACACACACACCCCTCCGCCCCTGGTTGGGGTGTGTACAGGAGGTAACCAATGGATTGTCTCTCTCACATAGACGTTTCTGTCTCTCCCTCCCCACTTCACTTTCTAAAAATCAACGGGAAAATATCCTAGGGTGAGGATTAACAAAACAAACAAAAAATGATGTCCCGCCCTAACCAGTTTGGCTCACTGGACAGAGCATCAGCATGTGCACTGAATGATTCCAGGTCCGATTCCGGTCAAGGTCATGTAACTTGGTTGCGGGCACATCCCCAGTAGGGAGTGTGCAGGAGGCAGCTGATTGATGTTTCTCTCTCATCGATGTTTCCAACTCTCTATCCCTCTCCCTTCCTCACTGTAAAAAATCAACAAAGTATATATTTAAAAAAAAACGATCCCCTCCCTCTGTCAGACACACCTGCTCGCACACAGTCCAGGGCGGGGCTGAGCCGCCAGCACAGGGTGCCTCAGATACTCACTTTCCCAGCAGGCTCCGCGGTGGAGCTTCCGTCGCTCTATAGGCCGCGCAAGAAGCCTCCAGCTGCGCCAAAGAACCTGACAGCCAGCTCCTCCCTCACTAGGGGGCGCCTGGTTCACCCACCCGACTGGGAGCGCACGCGGTGCCTGATGCCCGCCCAGCTCGCCAGCCCTGGAAGAGGTCAACACCCCTTCTCGCCCTTCCCCAGGTTGCCAACCAGGCAGGCTCTGGTGCGCATGCGCACACACGTCCACCACGCACTGAGCTACAGCGCATGCGTCCTCTCAAACCCGCCCCTTCGCGCAGTTCCCCATGTGTTTCCAGTTCCGGCTCCGGGGGGTTAGGGAGCGGGTAAGATGCGGTTGTCGGTCGCCGCCGCCATCTCCCATGGCCGCGTGTACCGCCGCCTGGGCCTTGGTCCCGAGTCCCGCATCCACCTGTTGCGGAACTTGCTGACCGGACTAGTGCGGCACGAACGCATCCAGGCGTCCTGGGCGCGCGTGGGCGAGATGAGGGGTTACGCCGAGAAGCTGGGCGACACCAACGAAAGAGCCATGCGCATGGCTGACTTCTGGCTGACAGGACAAATGCTGTCAACTAAATTGGAAACTGGTGATGAGAAGGACTTGATCCCAAAGCTGTTTCAAGTGCTGGCCCCTTGGTACCAAGGTCAGAATGGGGGCTACACGAGAATGCTGGAGATCCCAAATCAGAATCAGCAGGATCGGGCTAAGATGGCAGTGATCGAGTATATAGGGAACTGCCTCCCACCCGGCGGGCGGGACTTGGGGAAGGAGTGGGACCTCCAGGGTAAGCCCTGGCCCCAAGTCTGAATCCTTCAGTGGCGTTAGCGGAGCCCATTCACTCCTCTGGCCCCTCCAGTGGAAGACGGTTAGGGCTGTGGGGTTAGGAGCGCCCTGACCTAGAGAGAAGCCTGGCCAGTGGGATGAATGGGCTGCAGCCCAGCATGAGAGAAGTGAGATTGCCGCCTCGTGTCTTGCTCGGGTTGGGTCAGATTGATGTTCTGTCCTCACAGCTCATCGACTATGGGAAGCTGGGCGACACCAACGAAAGAGCCATGCGCATGGCTGACTTCTGGCTGACAGTAAGTGCGTCCTTTCCGCCACCCAAGTCGCATTCTTTGTTTCCTGAGTTGGGAGGGGGCTGTTAGAGAAAGGGGGGCTGGGCAGAATTAAGCCAAAACACTCCCTTGGCTTAGGGACAAATGCTGGCAACTAAATTGGAAACTGGTGACCTAAGTAGATACAATTCGGTGAGAATCTTAATCTGCACATCTGCCTGTAACTAACCCCTCTGTGTAACTTGGACTCAACCCCATTGGGGTGAGCAGTTAGTGGGTGGGAGTCTGGGTGTGGGTGTGTGTGTGTGTGTGTGTGTGTGTGTGTGGAGACCCTGCCTTTGGGAGTGCTGAGAGCTAAATGTCTCTGCCGTGGTGCCTGACTCTGCTCTCCTCCGGGTAACTCTCCCCCTCTAGGAGAAGGACTTGATCCCAAAGCTGTTTCAAGTGCTGGCCCCTCGGTACCAAGGTCAGAACGGGGGCTACACGAGAATGCTGCAGATCCCAAATCGGAAT